GAGAGAATATCTCCTATTTGCCTATAGCTTCTTATTCACTTTCTTAATATCTTATAATGATGAGATTTTCTTAATTTTATTGGAGCTCATTTACCAATCTTATTCATTTATGGTTATTGCATTTTTTGTTCTGTTTAAAAAGTCTTTTCCTGGGGAAGAGGGACAGTTCTTTCTCACAGTAGAATTCCAATTGATAAATGTGGAAGGAAAGATAGACATAAGAAATGGACAGTAGGTTGCTTAAAACCTCAAAAGTTTTCATTACAAGAAAAAAAATTTTTTTAAGTATATATAGAGATGGATGTTAACTAGACTTATGGTGATAATTTTGTAAAATATTGAATCATTATGTTGTACACCTGAAACTAGTATAATATTATACATCAATTATACCTCATTTTAAAAAAAAGAAAAAGAAGAAGAAAGTAAGTCAAAAGAGTGGCTCTTAGTAATAATTGCTTCAGACAAGATGCACTAATAGGTGCTAAAATTAATGGGTGAAAGTTTGAGGAGAAAAAAGGATTTGTATAGTGTCAAAGTATTTTCCACCACCCAAAGATGCTTACTACCACAGGCAAGTTAGTAACGTTATAGTGGGGAAACCCAACATGAAGCACTTTAACCAAGCAATCAAGGTTAACATCACCAGTAATAAAGCAATGACATCATGATCCCTTTCATATGAGAGGGGCACATCGCCATTGTGGTAATGCCAAAACTGCATAACCTTATTCTAATTATGAAAACATCAGACAACCCAAGTAGAGGGACATTTGACAAAATAAATGATTGGTACTCTTCCAACCTGAAAGGGTATGAAGATAGGTGTGGTGGATGGACTTTAGGGAGGCCCCATGATCCCTGCCTGCTTGTGTCTATGCCATTGTATAATTCTTTCCCTTAGAATGTGAGTAGGACCTGTGACTTACTTCTTCTAATCAGTAGAAAATGGCAAAGATGAGGGATATCACTCCCATGATTAGGTTACTTTATATGGGGATGTCACTACTGTGATTATGTTATGTCATATAAAACTCCATCATAGCAGACTAGAGCCAGAGTCTCCCTTTATACACCTGATGAAATAAGTGGCAATATTGGAGAATCTCATTGTAAGAAATTGCAAGTGGCTTCTAAGACCTGAGGACATCCTCCACCTGACAGCCAGCAAAAAGCTGGGGCCTTCAGTCATATAGCATCAAGCAAATGAATTCTGCGAACAATCTGAATGAATGTGGAAGTGATTCTTTCCCAGTTGAGCCTCCGAATGAGAACACAGCCCAGCTGACACCTTGTTTGCAGCTCATTCGACCAGCCTGATGAGAGCACCCAGCTAAACTGTGTCTAGATTATGGGTCCATGGAAACTGAGAAAATAAATGTGTGTTATTTTAAGTTAAATTTGTGGTAATCCGTTATGGCAGCAATTGAAAATTATTACCACAAGAAAGACTATAGTGATTAGAAGAGACTAAGGAGAAATAATAGCTAAATGCAATGTGGAGTTATGTATAGGATCCTGGAAAAGAAAAGAGGACCTTAGTGGGGAAAACTGGTGATATTTGAATAGATATGCTATTATAGTAGTGTACCAATGTTAATTTCTTGGTTTTGATCATTGTCCCATGTAAGATGTTAACATTAGGGTCAGGGGTTTACAGGAACTCTCTGTACTACTCTTGCAACTTTTCTCTAAGTCTAAGTAAGTGGAAATAAAAATTAATCAAAAAAGGCAAAATTTTGCCTACCCCAAGATCATGAAGATGTTTTCCTGTTTCTTCTTCCAGAAACTTTATTGTTTTAGTTTTCGCATTTAGGCCTATGATCCATTTTGAATTTATATCTGTATATGTAGTTGGATGAGAGTCAAAATCAATTTTTCCATACAGATACTCTATTGCTCGGGTGCCATTTGTTGAAGAGACTATCCTTTCTACTCTAAATTGCAGTCAGACATTATAAAAAATGGCTATATTTGTATAGGTCTCTTTCTGGACTCTATTTCTATTCTACTGGTCTATTTGTCAATCTTTGTGTCAATCCTACAGTTTTAATTATAGTAGCTTTATATTATTTCTTGGTAATGTGAGATTCACAACTTTGTTCTTCAAAATTGCCTTGATTACTCTGGGTTCTTTGCATTTCTATATAGTTTTAGGACAAGTTTGTTAATTTTTGGGAAAAAAATGCTGATATTGTTGGAGAAACACTGAATCAATAGATCAATTTAGAGAGAATCAATAATCTTAAAATTGTATCTTCCAATTCACATGGAATATGTTTCCATTTAATTCATCTTTCATTTCTTAATGTTTTGTTATTTTCAGTTCAAAGATCATGCACACCTTTTGTTAGACTGGTTGCAAGGATTGTTTTTTATAAATTTTTCGGATTTTAAAATTTTCATTTTTCAATGGCTTTGTTTCAATACAGTTGTGTTTTATATATTGACTTTTTATTTATAAATTTTGTTAATAAATTCACTTATTCTGATAATTTGTAGAATTGAAGGCCTTTTTTACAAATGATGTTATCTGCAAATAAAGATGATTTACTTCTTTCTTTCTAATCTTCATTCCTTTTATTTCACATTTTTTCCCTTATAGTATTGGATAGGTCTTCTGGTACAAATTTGAATGAAAATAGTAAGAGTGGACAACCTTGTCTTGTTTCTGAACTCAGAAGGACAGTGCTCCATATTTCACCTCTCATATAATGTTAGTTATAGTTTTAGTCTGCAGATCCCTTCATCAGATTAAAGATGTTCTCTTGCAAGTTTAATGAGAACTTTTATCACAAACTGATGTTGAATATTATCAAATGGTTTTTCTGTCTCTAATGAAATGACTGAATGGTTTTCTTCTTTATTATTTCAAGTTGGAAGATTCTATTGATTGCTTTTTGACAATTAAATGACTTTTGCATTTCTAGAATAAATCTTTTGGTCACAGATATCACTGGCTTCTCCCTGCTAATATTTTGTTTCATATGTTTGCATTTATGTTCATGAGAGATATAATTTTCCTTTCTTATGATGTGCTTGTCAGGTTTTGATATCAGTTATGCTGGCTTCAGGATATTGTTTTCTATGTCTAAGAGAGACTGAGTTTGGTATTTTTAATTCTTTAAATGTTTGGTAGAATTTGCCACTGAAGCCTCTGGACCTGACATTATAATGGAAAGGCTCTAATACAGATTTAATTTTTTTAATAAAGCAATATTCATGGTTTTTATTTCTTCTATCAGTTTAAATTATATTTTCAAGGAATTTAAAAATTTTATCCACATTTTCAAGTTGTCATAAAGTTTGTCTTAAAATTCTATTATTAAGTCAATGTCTGTAATAAATGTAGTGATATCTCCTTTTATATTCCAGATATTGGCATTTTTTTCTTGATCAGTGTAGCTAGAAATTTATCAATCTTTTTAATCTCTTCAATGAAATAGCTTTTGGCTTTATTAGTTTTTCTTTGTTTTATATCTGGTGTTTTTTGTTATTGATTTATTTTGTATGTTCTGCTTTCATAAGCTTAATTTGCTTTTCTTTTTCTAGCTTGAAAAGGTAGATCATTGATATTTAACCTTTCTACTTTTATAAAATATTTAAAGCTAAAAATGTCTTTGTAAGCATTGGTTCGACTGCATCTACTAAGCTTTGAGACTTTCATTATCATTCAGTTCAAAATATTTTCTGCTTTCTATTATGGCTTATTTTTTTACCTGCACTTATTTAGGAATTAAAATTTTTATATTTGGAAACATTTGAGAAATGCTTGTTTTTGAGTTCCAAGTTAATTCTAACAGCTTTAATAATGATGCATTCTTTGATAGTAATCCTTTGAAATCTATACATATTTGCTTTATGGCCCAGAATATCATTCTGATAAATATGCTATGAACATTTAAAAAGAATGTGTAGTCTGTAGATTGAGAGTATAATGTTCAATTGAGTCAATTTGATTAATCCTGTCTAAAATATTTTTTCACTCATTTTCTTTTAACCTATGTTGCTTCAGATTTAAGGTGTGTTTCTTATAAGCATCATAACTGATTCTCTTTTATCTTTTTAATTTGATCTGACAGTCTTAGTTTTTAATTGCTATGCTTAATTTAATGCAATTACTGATACAGTAGAGCATAAGTCTGTCTCTTGCTAAAATTTGTCTTTGTCCCATCTGTTCTTTATTCCTCTTTTCCTGCCCTCTTTTGTATTATCAGGTATTTTTCCATATTCCATTTTATCTTCTCTATTAGTATTTTTTGGCTGTACATCTTTGTATAATTATTTACTACTTACCTTAGATATTATAAGATATACCTTTAATACAGTCCCCTTTAAATTAGAGCTTTTACCACATGACAAATAATATAAAAACATTTCAATAGTGTAACTCTATTTACCTTTTCCACCATTTTTGCTATTATTTTCATTCTTTCTTCCTATATTACAAGCCCCACAAAACATTATTATTATTTAGTCAGATTAGTCATATATTTACTATGACTACAGCTGTTCATTGCATTTTTGCATATCTGGGATTATTTTCCTTTAGCCTGATTGCTGCCCTTTAGTATTTCTTGTATTGTGGGTCTGTTGATAAGAAATTCTCTCAGCTTTTGTTCAAAAACATTTTTATTTCACCTTCATTTATGAAAAATATTTTCTCTGGGTATAAAATTCAGAGTTGTCAGTTTTTTTCCCCAGCACTTTAAAAGATATAATCCTCTTCAGGCTACTATAATTTCTGTTGAGAAATGAAGTCTTTTTCTTATTGCTGTTTTCTTATTAACTGATGTCAGTTTTAACTACATACTTTTAAGATATGTTCTGCAATTTTGTTTTTCAACCGTTTGGCTTGGTATGGATTTCTTTATTTTATCAAGGTTAGGTTTGCTGAGTCTTTTTGACTTATGTGTCAAGGTATTTGATGAGATTTGGAATGTTTTTGTCCATTATTTCTTCAAATAATTTTTCTGTCCAATTCTCTCTTTGAGGTGTTTAATTTCCCATGGTGATCAATACTGCTTCTGCTGTTAAATACATCTAATAAATTCTTAATTTTAGATAATTATATTTTTGTAATGATAAAATGTTCATGTTATTCTTTTTTAAGATTATATATCTCTGTTGATATCCTCCATATTTTATTACTTTTTTGCCCATGTTTTCCTCTATTTTCTTTAGCATGTAAATCATAATATTTTCAAGTCTTTGTCTGCTAGCTCTACTCTCTGGATCATCTTTGCGTATGTTCCTATTGACATTTTTCTCTTGATTATCAGTTACTTTTGCCTGTTTATTTACATTGTTTGATAACTTTTATTGTATGCTGGAACTGTATGTAATATATTACAGAGACTGTGAATTATGTTATCTTCCTTTAATGACTTCTCAACATTTGCACTGTTGATAGGTTTTCACATGTCTAAAGGATATCATGAGAATGCCCTTTTCCATACATTCCTAATATAAGGTTCATCAACCTTTAAATTTGACAATTGAATACCTGTAAAATGATGGTATCTAATTGCTTAAAACTATCTCTTTAGTAAATCTTTTAACAGATGGTGTCTTATAGTTGAAAAAAAGGCGGATTTATAGTTACAGAAAACTGATTCAAATCACATCAGTTCTACTTATTATTTGTGATATGGGAAAATGTCTTTAATTCTTTGACCTTCCATTTCCTCATCTGTTGAATTGAGATAATAAATACATTTCAGAATTAAAAATTAATGTGTATACAGCACCTCTCACATAGAAGGCTGAAAAATCTGCGTTGCTCTATGGCTTCAGTAACCATAAATTCACTCTTCCCTAATGGGTACAGGGTGGGATGGGAGCAGGGGGCACAGGCAATGACTCATGTCAGAAAGCAAAGTGGAACCTGATAGGGAAATCCAGATTAGTTAGCTCAAAGAATCTTGGGAGTCATAGTTCTAGCTTAGAAAAAAGGCATCACTTATGCAGGCAATTTTACAGTTTAAAGTTTTTCAAGTTGGTCTCTACTGTTTCCTGACTTTTGTCTGGTGGAGTCTAGGTCCATCTCAAGATCATGAAAGTTGTTGCAGTTTGTATTGTGTGGCCTGGTCTCAACCCTGCAATATAGGCCTGGATGAGGGAGAATGACTGAATGCCCAGGCTGGGTTCAGGTGGCATGATCAGAATGAAAAATAGGTCAGAGTGAAGTGTCTGGATCTAGCTTTGATGCAAGAGTGCCTCTGCTCTGTATCCATACTTGTGTGGCTTGTTTCCCTAGGTATGGGGAAGGGCTTGGGTTTGTCTAGACGACTTCTTATATCTCCTGATATGTGTTTATGTGTTTTGGAGGGTAGAGAGTGGGCAAGGCTGGCCAGAAGCAGGAATAATAAAAAAGAAAGGCTATCTTACCTTAAATAATTTTTGGAGTTCTGAGATATACCAGATCTCAAGGCATCTTTTTCCTCCCCCAGCTCTGGCTTCTCTAAACTCTGCTTCTCTATTAGAGGAAACCTGAGGAGGACTGGCAGTTCTAAAACCATGGCCCAGGTATGTGGATGTCTTTTTCTCCCTCCTGAAATATTATGACATATAGTTAATGTAATACTTTAATTCTTTATCCAGAAACCTCCTTCTTAGGAAAACTGTATCTCTGACCCTATTTCACAGGTTCTAATATTACAAAGAAAGATAGTATCCTCATTTGCTCCCTTTTTTCAAACTGATTTTCACTTGTTCATCAAATCATTCATTCATCTTCTGTGTGTTCAGTCTTCTCTAAAGAGCAGTGATGGAGCAGTGAAAGAGTGAAGTACCTTGAAGAAAATATTTGAGCTTCCCTTGTCAGGTTCATGAATTCATGATGGTTCTGTTTGACCACAGGAAGGCAAACTTTCTCTAGTTTTCCAGGTACACAGGATAAACAGATTATAAGTGGTCGCAGATCAGTGTGAGATCAAATCTCAGCTTCAAAAAGCCTTTAGGTTTGGGTAGAAATGGGATTGGTGCCTGCCTAGAGAGAGATCAGGGATCTGGCTAAGGAATCAATGAGAAACGAAGTACTAAGAGAGATTGCTGGTCTTGAGTGAATCTGGATCACCTTACATTGGTGTGTTCAAACCCAGGAACAGTTCAGTAAGGGATTGTAGAAAGAAGTATCATCTAGAACTACATGTGGTGGATATACTGAACTGTGGGGAAGAAGTTAGGATTTGTATCCAACCTAAATATCATAAAAGTACACTACTTTATGTTTTAATATAATAATTACTACCTTAATACTTTAAGAAAGATTAAATCTGAGAAGCATGGCAGAGTGAGCTTAAAGACATAGAAATATGTGATTTAAATGACAGTATCTGTCTTTCAACTGTAAATAGCTTCGCTAGATAAAAGTATTCTTAGTTGTAGAGCCTGGGTTTTCATTATGTGGAATATTTTGTGCCAAGCCCTTTTGTCCTAGTTTTCTCCCTAGTTGCAGGCCTTTGTTTGTCTAGACCCCAGGTGACTCTAGCTGTTGTTTGCTCCGCGTTTCTGTCACAACTTTGACGTGATTGAAAGAGCAGATGAACAAATCCTTTATCATCTATGCCATTTTGCTTGGTGTTCCTGAAAGTAATTTTTTAAAAAACAGAGTACATTCCCATTAATACCTATGCAGAGAAATAATCCATCAAAGGCCATGAACAACCTAAGCGACAGAAAGAAAATGAAAAATCTCCAGAAAATAAGCTTAAAGACATAGAAATATGTGATTTAAATGACAGAGAATTCAGGATTGCACTTCTGAAAAAAACTCAATGAGATGCAAGATAAATAATGATCAACAATTCCAAAAACTTATAATCAAAACAGACCAACAAAATGAGTTTTTTAGCAAGGAGATTGAAATGCTAAAAAAGAGCCAAATAGAACTTCTAGACATGAAGAACACATTAAAGGAGATAAAAAAATGAAATAGCAAGCTTAGGAAATAGAGGCCGACCAGACGGAGGAAAGAATCAGTGATATCGAAGGCAGAAATCTGGAAACAACTCAGAAGAAAGAAGTGAAAGACCTGAGAATGAAAAAAAAAAAATGAAAGAACTACATAAAAACTATCTGACACCATCAGGAAAAGCAACATAAGAATAATAGGTACACCAGGAGAAGAGAAGAAGGGAACAGAGAGCACATTCAAACAAATGATTGAGGAGAGTTTCCCAAATCTATAAAATTAGCTGGATCTTTGAATTCAAGAAGCAAATAGATCACCCAGTTATCAAAATCCAAAAAGGCTTTCTCAAAGATACATATTAAAATTGTCAAAAATTAATAACAAAGAAGGAATTCTCAAGGCAGCCAGAGAAAAGAAGAGAGTAACCTATAAAGGAAAACCCCTTAGACTATCTCCAGACTTCTCAGCACAAACCTTACAAGCAAGAAAGGAGTGGAACCAAATATTGAAACTATTAAGTGAAAGGAATTACCAGCCAAGAATAATATATCCAGCAAAGCTCTCCTTTAGATGTGAAGGAGAAATAAACTCATTTACAGACATAACAAAAGTTGAGGGGATTCTCTGCTACAAGGCCTGTATTACACAAAATACTGAAGTGGGTCATCCCACCTGAGACAAACAGACAAAAAATACCATGAGTAAGACAATCAACAGGCAGACAGAAGCAGGGTAAGGCAACCCTTTTTAAGAACAGGACATTATAAGTTTAAACATTAAGAAGATAATCACTACTGCAAGTTAGAAATAAACATTCAAGATACATAGGGACCATCTGAGACAACAAAAATAGAAAAGGAGAGGGAGTAAAGATCCAAATATGCAAAGGGGAATGGAAGTAAGGCACATGCGGAAGAAAATGGACTACTGCATATATATAACCTTTACATAATCTTTTTTTTTTTTTTTTTTTTAGGCGAGGCAACCCTTGGTTGACCTCACAGATTACAAGGACCTTGTCAGCTTACAATGCCTTATTTTTTATTTCTTACGCCTACAGCACCTGGCCTTTACATAATCTTAATGGTAACCACACACTAGAAATCCAGAACTGAAATACATAACACTGAACAAAAAGTTGTTGAGTAAATAAATAGTAAATATATAAAAGTTGTTGAGTAAATAAATAGTAAATGACTGGACCAGAAAGAAAATGCACAAAACCCTACCAAATTAAAATAATAGACAGAAACACAAGGACAAAGAAACAATGGAAAAACTAAGTTACCAGAAAACAAAAGATAAAATGGCTAAAGGAAAACCTCATATTTCAGTAATCACCCTAAATGTAAATGGACTCAACTCACCAATAAAAAGGTACAGAGTTGCAGATTGGATCAAAAAACCAAACCCAACCATATGCTGCCTTCAAGAGACCCATTTCAGCTGCAAGGACAAATATAGACTCAAAGTGAAAGGATGGAAAACTATATTCTAAGCAAATGGCATTCAGAGAAAAGCGATGTAGCTGTACTTATATCTGACGAAACAGAATTCAAGATAACAAAGGTAAAGAGAGATACTGATGGACACTTCATAATGATAAAGGGAATCATGCACCAACAAGACATAACACCTATTAATATCTATGTTCCCAGTAAGGGAGGTTCAAAATATATAAAGCAATTACTAACAATTAAAAGGAGAAACTGACCAAAACACAATCAAAACACAAACTGACCAAAATACCCTACTGTCAGATATGGATATATCATCTCAACAAAATCAATAAAGAGATAACATCTTTAAATGATACATTAAGCCAGTTGGACATAATCAACATTTTCAGAGCCTTTCATCCCAAAACACGTGCTTATACATTCTTTTCTAGTGCACATGGAACATTCTCAAGGGTTGACCACATACTGGGACACAAAACTAGCATATTCTCTGATCATAATGCTTTGAAGCTGGAGATCAACTGTAAAAAGAAAGTGGAGAAAACCACAAATATGTGGAGAGTAAATAACATACTACTGAAGAATGACTGGGTCAGAGAAGAAATCAAAAGAGAGATCAAGAGATATATAGAAATGAAAGAGAATGAAAGTACATCATATCAAAAATTTTGGGACACAGCAAAAGCAATAATAAGAGGAAAGTTCATATCATTCATATTTCAAAAAACAAGAACAAGCCCAAATAACCTAACACTTCATCTTAAGAAATTAGAAAAAGAAGAACAAATGAAGCCCAAAGGGAGCAAAAGCAAGGAAGTAATCAAAATGAAAACAAATACAATATAAGAAATAAATGCAATGAAGAGTTGGTTCTTTGAGATTAATAAAATTGATGAATATCTGGCCAGATGCACTAAAGAAAAAAGAAAGGACACAAACAAAATCAGGAATGAAAGAGAAGTTATAAGACATACCACCGCAATACAAAGGATTATACAAAAATACTATGAAAATTTATATGACACCAAATATAATAAACTAGAAGAAATGGAAAAATTCTTAGAAATATACCACCTTTCTAGACTGAATCATAAAGAGCTGAAAAATCTAAATAGACTGATCAGCAGTATGAAAATTGAAATAATCATCAAAAACTTTCCAAAAAGTAAAAGTCTAGGGCCAGAGCTTCACCAGTGAATACCACCAAACAATCGAAGAGGATTTAATTCCTATTCTTCTCAAACTCTCCCAAAAAATTGAGGAGGCAATACTTCCTAACTCATTTTATGAGGCCAACATTACCCCAATACCAAAACCTGGTAAAGATAATATGAAAAAAGAAAACTACAGACCTATATCTCTCATGAACACAGATGCAAAAACCCTAAAAAAGACACAAGCAAATAGAATACAGCAACACATTAAAAAGATTTTACACCATGATCATATGAGCTTCATCCCAGGGGCACAGTGATGGTTTAACATACATAAATTGATTGATGTGATACACCACATAATCAGAGAATGAGAAGCATATGATCATGGCGATAGATGCAGAAAAAGCCTTTGACAAGATACAGCATCCATTTATGATCAAAACACTTAATAAAATAAGTGTAGAAGGAAAGTACCTCAACATAATAAAGGGCATATACAACAAACCCTCAGCTAACATTATACTTAATGGTAAAAAACTAAAAACCTTTCCTCTAAGATCAGGAACAAAACAAGGCTGTCTACTTTAGAAGTCCTAGCGAGTGCAATCAGGCAAGAGAAAGAAATAAAAGGCATCCAAATAGGAAATGAAGAAGTCAAACTCTCACTATTTGCAGATGACACAATTCTCTATGTAGAAAACCCTAAAGAATCCACTAAAACACTACTAGAAATAATAAATGAATACAGTAAAGTTTTGGGATATGAAATCAACATTCAAAAATCCATAGCATTTCTATACTCTAATAATGAATTTTTTAGTAAAAGAAATGGGAAAAAAATCCCTTTTGCAATTGCAACAAAAAGAATAAAATACCTAGCAATAAACCTAACGAAAGAGGTGAAGGACCTATACAATGAAAACTACAAGACTCTATAAAAAGAAATTGAAGAATACACAAAGAAATGGAAAGATATTCCATGTTCTTGAATCAGAAGAATAAACATAGTTTAAATGACCTTATTACCTAAAGCATTATACAGATTTAATGAACTCCCCATCAAAATCCCATCGGCATTTTTTAAAGAACTAGAACAAAAAATCATCAGATTTGTATGGAAGCACAAAAGACCCTGAATCACCAAAGCCATCCTGAGAAAAAAGAACAAGGCTGGAGGCATCACTCTGCCCAACTTTAAATTATACTACAAAGCAACAGTAATCAAAATGTGGTATTGGCAGGAAAACAGACACACAGACCAGTGGAACAGAATCGAGAGTCCAGAAGCAAACCCATGTTTATACGGGCAAATAATTTTAGACAAAAGAAGCCAAAACCTACAGCAGAGAAAGGAAAGTCTCTCAAATC